CTGAAACTAAATTAAAATTGGAGGAAAATATATATTCATGCACACTGTAAAAAGGCTGCAGCCATCTTCACAGGTTTGGCTTGCTCCAGCGCCCCCCTTCTGCCCCCCTTCTGCTCCAGCACCCCCGTGCCGCCCCTTTTCGTTCTACTGCCCCCCTGAAAAATGAAATCGCCCCCAGGGGGGCATTATCGCCCACGTTAAGAACCACTGCTATAGATAAGGATTGGCCGGCAGGATCTTGCGCATGCTCTCGATCAAATTTAATAAACCTAGTTATGAACGTCTATTGTGTTATGCTCAAGATAAGGTGGTCACTGAAAAGATACAAAAGGAAAGCTGGGGGAAGGCAGAGGCAGAAAGATGAAAGAGAGAAAGAACCAATTATTTAGTATGATTTTTTAAAAAACAACAAATATATATATTCCTATATTACCATTTGAATTAAAGACAGACCCCTCCCTAGAAAAGATTGATAAAAACCTTCAGGAATGTAAATAAAGAGCTGTACTCACTGCTCACTTACTTACTTGGGTAGTACTAGAATCTGCACAAGGAAAATGCAGAAAAATATAAGACATGCACAAGTCACATAGTACTTGAACGTAGGCAGTGTGGTTGCTCTATACTAAAACAAAAATAGAAAGAGATTATAAAAAAACAATTCTAAAAATAGATAAAACAGTTGTTAATTTCAACACAGTTACTTGTACATTTTGAATGCTAAACAGCAAATGCTAATGAACGTTGTGATGGCCATTAGCTAGATTGCTTTAAAGAACTGCATTAGAAGAATTCACAGAGAACAGAGCAACAGAGCAGAGCATTTTCTTTCTCTCTCTTTTTTGGACTACAGCTTCCAAAATCTGTCAGTTCCTCCAATAATTGTAATTCAAACAAACTATTTTTCTAAGCGCTAATCATGATTTATTCCTTAACTGTTTACATTACTGCACTGCTGCACTTTTTGGCACTTTGTACTAAAAGAGTTCACTCTAGGCCTGCCCCCCCCCCAGTGAAGTGGCCATGAGCAACATCCAAGTAGTGATGAGCAGAGGAAGATATAGTGTTGGTAAAGTCAAGTCCAGGAGAACAGGGGATAGATGCTTGAAAGCTGTCCCCTGTTCATAAAATCATAGAATAGTGAAGTTGAGAGGGGCCTATAAGGCCATCAAGTCCAACCCCTTGCTTTATGCAGAAATACAAATAAAAAGATATTTGACAGGTGGCTGTGTAAGTTGCTCTTGAATGCCTCCAGTGTTGGAGCACTCACCACCTCTCGAAGTGATTGGTTCCACTGTTCTGGCTCTTCTACCTGTTGCCCAGTTCAAGGTAATCTGTTCAGCCAGCCCTTCACTCTATTGTTGATGTTACTTACTGCCAGACCTGCCCTAAACAAAGCTAAGCTTATCCAGGATTCAATTCTGGATGAAGGTGCAGATCTGGCCTGCATTACTGAAACTTGGGTGGGTGCAGAGGGCAGGGTGGTTCTCTCATTAATCTGTTCACCCAGATATTCCATTTTACATCAAGGTAGATTTGGAGGGACAGGGAGTTGCTATTGTATATAAAAACATCTTGGAGGCTGTCAGGATCTCTGCCCTGATGATCCTGGGTCTGGAGGCCCAACACATGTCGGTGGGGACCAGGAATAGAACTTAGATTGTGCTGGTTTACCATGCTCTCTGCGACCCAGCACTCTCCGTTCCTGAGCTGGTGGGCTTTATTTTTGCATTTTTTTTCTGGGTGACTTCAACATCCTTGCCAAGGCTGAGGTCACTGGACCAGCTCTTGAGTTCTTGGAAACCATGGCTTCCACAGATATGTCCTAATTTGTCAACAGTCCCATCCATGTGGTGAGTCATATACTGGACCTGGTTTTTGTTTTTTTTTTTTAATGGAGCAGGGAGAGAGTGACCAGCATATGTGGGATGTTCTGCCTATTTCCATCTTAGGTGGATAGCCCAGCTGCATCCTTAACTTGACACCTGGTCCCTCGCCTTGCTGGTCCATGCATTGATAGTCTCGAGAAAAGACTGCTGTAGTGTTCTCTATGTGAGGCTACCCATGAAGCTTATATGGAGACTTTGGCAGGTCCAGAATGTGGCAGCCAGACCTCTAGGTAGATTAAACAAATACCAGTATATTTTCCCCACTCTGGCCACCTTACATTGGCTACCTGTTTATTTCCATGCCATTTTCAAAGTGGTATCACAAATGTACAAAGCCTGAAACAGATTGGGGCCCCAACACATGGCAGAACCCTTGCATTCAATGAGTTCTGCCCACCCTACTTGTTCATCTCAGGTGGTGTGGTTGAGGATTGTGACCCCAAGAGGAAGGAAGGAAAGAAAGAAAGAAAGAAAGAAAGAAAGAAAGAAAGAAAGAAAGAAAGAAAGAAAGAAAGAAAGAAAGAAAGAAAGAAAGAAAGAAAGAAACCCCCAGAAATATAGCCTTCTCAATGGCTGCACCATGTTTGCGGAATCAATTCCTACTTAATATCTGCCTAGCCCCTTCCTGGCTATCTTTAAGAGATCATTAAAAACCTGGTCACTTAGACAGGCCTTAGAGAATACACCAAACGACAGAGCATTTATCAACCCTTAAGTCAGTAATCCTGTCAGCTTGACTCTTTTTATTAATTGTGTGTGTTTATTTTCTTTAGTATTTGACATTATTTTATTTTGGTTTGTTGATGTCGGTTATTGTCTTATTTCCTGTTGTGAACCACCAAGAGTGGCCTTGGTAGCCAGATGGGTGGTATAGAAATCAAATAAATAAAATAACAATAAATAAATAATATAAATAATCATTAGCTATGATAGCCAAACAGAACCTTCCTATAAGGAGGTAGTATACATCTAAATATCAGTTGCTCTGGCCAGAGGAATATGGAGATCAGCTGTTGCATTCATGCCCAGCTAATGGGCTTTCTGGAAGCATCTGGGTGGCCACAGTTGGGCACAGGATGTGGGACTGAATGGTCCCTTGAAGTGACCTAGGAGGTTCTCACATTATTAGGATTAAGCTCAGCTGAGATTTCCTTCAGAATTGACCCAGCAAAAACCCAGTAAGCATTGTCACTGAAAGCTTTGGCCCTCTTAATTTTTTTTTTAAAAAAATGTTCTACAGAAGGTAGCTCAGCCCTTTGCACACTTCGGTAACCATGGGGGAACTCACTATTGAATTATGCCCACACACACATTTCATAGAACTAGGCTTATTCTCTCCTCACCCCATGAGAATGAACAAAATTATTTTGACTCAAAAGTCGCTAAACAGATACCTCATCTCCTAACAATAAGCAGACACACATCAACTAGAATTGCAAAAACAAACAAACTAACTTACTAAATAACTAAAACCCACAGCTTGAGTTGGTCTTAGCTTGGTAGCAGTGTGCAAGAGAAACAGCAATTATCTGTATGGAAGATTAATGAGCACAGTGACCACATGTTTCGATTTCCCAGGCCTTGCCAAGAAGGACATAGTCAGAATAGTTGTGGAAAAACTCAAAACCAATAACTTAGCAGTGCTTTGAGCAATCAGATAAAATTTCTATGGAATTTTATGATAATGTTATGATAATGTTATGTAATACACTAGAAAACATGTATATCCCGACATTTCCTGATAAATTAGGAGATAAGATAGTCATCACTTAGTCATTCCTCTTCTGGAACCACCTGTCTTTTCCTCTCCCACATGTAATAAGAAGCAGGAACACATTCTCTCCCTCTCCCTCTCCCCCTCCCCCTCTCCCTCTCCCTCCCTCCATGAATGCAGAACCCAAGAGTTCTATGTTAAACATAACTTACTTCCTTTTCCAGGGTCTTGTCATAGAACAGCAATGATATTCTGTGAATATCCTCAGATTTAAGCCACTGCCTACAAGAGAAAATGAAAAATCACACAAAATATTCTACCATAAGCCAATTAGCTCACTACCGATGACATTATTTTGACACTTCAAGTAAATGAAAAGTGTATGTACAATGTTGTAAAATCCAACAGATATCTGTGTTATGCTTGGCCTAGTTCAATAGCCATATCCTCTCTGCAGAGAAATTTGGAAAAGAGTTACAGACAGAATTCTCAGTACCCTCATTTCACTACAGGCCCCAGGATTTTGGACAAGAAACTATAAGAGCTGAGATGGAACAGAAAGCAATCACATTTGTAGAGTAGGCACATGAGTATATGCACAAAGATACAGCCTTGTAAACGAGCAAACAAATATTTATCGGTGTCCTAAAAACACTCTTCCTAGGTTGTCTTAGAAGTACAGAGCCGGAAGTTATAACAGCAGCCTTCAATTCAGAGATGGGTGGGGTGTGCTACTTGTGGATGTTATGGTGCCTGCAGCTTTGTGATATGCCATCCTATAATCTATATGATATGGAGACAATCAAGCAGGATCTTTGAAGCAGGTTCCTCCAGTCTCCATACATCCTTCAGATTTCTTCCTAGCACTGTCCTCCTGATCCCATTATGCGAATAGCAGTAGCAGGGAAGTAAATTCGTGTGCAAACATACTTCTGAGCATTTATTCCATCAATTGCTCGAATCATCCTTTCATTCAATTCCTCTTCAAATTTCTTCTTCTGAGACTTTGTTCTGCAGAGGACAAAGGAAATGTGGCAAGGAGGGGAAGAGGAATTAGTATCCAAGGGTGAGGGGAACTAAAATCTGGCAGTAATTAGCTTACATCAAGAGAAACACAAGAACAAAGAGAAAGCCAACTGTTTCCATGCCTATTTTCTACAATTACTTGCCTATATATGGGCCTACACTTAACATCATACTTCCATTTTATAAAATAAAATTGAGCTGCTACTGGAATGCCCTTAGAATAACAGAATCAACAACTACTTTCAGATCACTTAAAAACAGCTGGGGATCTGTTTATTTTTTTAGAATCACTTAGTATGGGAGATTAATAAAGTTGCCTTGGGTAAGCTCATGTTGTTACACATTTTATTGGCTGTGAATGCGGTAAGCTGACGTACACAATTTTGTGATAGCATACCCTATGGAAGGCTTACAAACTGCTGATGTTTCTCTCTCTATTCTCTGAAATGTAGCCCCTGAATAAGCTAACCAAATCTACTTGTACAATATCAAGTCTCTCTGTGTTCACCCTTTCATAAGGAGAGCATCACACAGCTCTAAGTCTGACAGCCTTTGTTCTTGATATGCTCTGTGATATCCAAGAAGCTTAATAGAGCCATAAAGCACATGTGATGGAAACTACCTTTCTGCTTTTCACATTTATGTACAGTATATTAAACTAAGAATGGAGCACAATGCTCTTCTGCTTTTCACATTTATATTAAACTAAGAATGGAGCACAATGCTAATTGTGGCCAGATAGGCATATACATGATTGGGTCACAAAGTGGGCATTCTCTTGACTTAGTTCTCTTGCCTAGTGTCCTAACAGGCCTAGCCAAAAAAGGACACCATCTGATGTAGGATATAGCACAGGTGGGAAATAGACTTTCTCCTTATCTTACAGGACATCTACTGGCATCCTTTAGTTATCAGTGATGGAGAAGAGTGACACCTATAAATGTCGTAGGTAGGTAGGTAGGTAGGTAGGTAGGTAGGTAGGTAGGTAGGTAGGTAGGTAAGATATCATCACCTCAGGGAGGGGGGCGATGATAACTTCCTCAATGGCTCAAGGGGGCATTTCTTTCAAAAAGGTTAAGAACCACTGTCCTAAAAGACCTAGCCAAAAATGGACACCATCTGATGTAGGATATAGCACAGGTGGGAAATAGACTTTCTCCTTATCTTACAGGACATCTACTGGCATCCTTTAGTTATCAGTGATGGAGAAGAGTGACACCTATAAATGTCAGGGTCAAACTAGGAGTGATGTGAAATTATTTCTATTGAAAGGAATAAAGGGCAATGTAGAAGTGAGAGGGGTGCTAGTGAAGCTGATCAAAAAATAAGTGGATAAAGTTAGCTGTGTCCTGAAAAGCATGGGTACAAATATGATGATGAAGAAGGAAGAGACAAGAAAGCAGGATAGAGAATGGGGATGCTGTGCATGCAGGAAGGAAGTGGCCAGAAGGAGAAACAGTCAAGGGGCCACAGAGCTAATGGTTTCAGAGTTCTATAGTAATTTTTGATTGATTAATTCTGCCAGTTGTGAATGTTACACTTCTCGTGGCATCATGACATGACAACAAGAGCCAAATCACTTGGTTGACTTTTTTTGCCTGTGTTTTGATTATGAGTTTGAACAAGTCAATCAATTATTTGGCTACACACTTGCAGCACTTTTTACATTGAAATCAATAATGCTTTGGCATGATTTCTAAATAATCATCTTTAGTACTTTGATTCAGCTGATTTCTGGTCAAAATCCTTGTAGTTCCATGATAAATTAATGCCATCTTACAGTGCTCTATCAACACCAAGATGAGAAGTACTGTAAGCACTTCATCAAATCCCTTTTAATGTGAAAGATTGAATATATAATTGCCCTTGGATCAGACTGAAGGAGATTTATATTATTTTAATTATAATCCTAATAGCTGATTGAAATTAGCCTAGCAAACAAAGCCACTGCTCACATGGATTCAGAACTGCTGATCAAAAGAAGCATGGATTTTTTTATGTGTGAAACTCATGCTCCACACACATACCTAAACACACATACCTTTCTCTACAGCGTTGAAAATTATACTGACCCATTGGCATGTCCTACAAAAGAGAAACAGAAAAGTATTATTAATAATTAAGTGTTGTCAAATAGGTTCTGACTTATAGTGACCCTTTTTCAGGATCTTCTAGGTACAGACAATAGGGAAGTGGTTTACCAGTCCCCTTCTTCTGGAGATGACTTGGTACTGTGCAGCTTGGTTAAATTACACAGTTAGCTCTTCACCTAGGAGGTTCAGTGGAGAATTGCACTCCCAACCTCTAACTTCATAGTCAGATGCCTAACTCACTGAGGCATTAGAAAAATATTTCACTTTCCAAACATATAATGATGGATCATAATGCAAACTAAGGGTCAGTAGTTAATTCTCCCACTTTTGACTCAAAAACTACACAAACCATATGATTAAATTCCCAGTGCTAGGATTGGACTCAACCACCACAACCTTACTCATATCTCTTCAAAGTGAAGTCTCCATAAGTTCAGTAGACTTACTCTAGTGTTTGTAAGATTGTAAGATCATAGCCTTATCGCTATAGAGCAGGGGTCTCCAAAGTACGGCCTGTGGGCGACATCCGGCCCAACTTCTTCCATATACATAAAATGCCAAATGCATGCATTTCAAAATGTGTGAAAAGGCACAAAATGTTCTGTAATCTTGCCCAGCATGAGGACAACTTTTGAATTTTTTTTATTTTCACCTGAGCGAATGGAAGGAGCAAAAAAAAAATTACCTCCCAATTCCGCACTACATGTTTTCAGAGCTTCAGAATCTGTTAACATTAACTGGAGTTCACAGGGGGATAAGGAAATTTGACAAGAAGAAGTGGAGAAAAAGAAGATGTTTTCTTCCCTACCCATGTGAAACCTTCCTTTGCCATACTGGTAAGCAAAAGCAACAGGTACAGAGCTCAAACCATCAGGAAAAGAGCTTTAAAACAATAAAGCAATACCTATTTTTAAAAAGGTTTCATAGGTTAACACCAAGTTTTAGGAACAATTGTAATAAACCTTTTAAAGTAAGAATATTTTACTTTAGTAAAGGAACACCCACTCCCATCAAGATCTACCCGGATCACCCGCGTTTTACTTTAGTAAAGGAACGCCCGCTCCTGCGCGAGTCAGGAAGTGAGGTTGAGGAGCCCGATGCCGAGGGAGGCCTGGAGGGAAAAGACATGAAACCGGGCCTTTTCAGCGGTGGCTCCTCGCCTCTGGAATAACCTTCCACCGGAGATTCACGAGGCCCCCAAATTGGGTACATTTAAAAGCCAATTAAAAACATGGATGTACATCCAGGCCTTCCCTCATGTCAGCATTTGACTCTTTTTTTCTTTTTTGCTATTCATTATTTATTATATTTTTTACACTGTTTCTGTTATTGATTATGTCAATGCTTTTGTGTTATTTTATGAATCTGTGTTTGTTGGAAGCCGCCCAGAGTGGTACAATATACCAGATGGGCGGGCTATAAATAAATAAATAAATAAATAAATAAATAAACAAACAAACAAACAAACAAACAAACGAATGAACAAACAAACAAACAAACAAACAAATAAATAAATAAATAATTTCTGGCTTGCTTTATAGATTTCCCTGATTGCTAAGAAATTTCAGTGGCACAGTTTTGGGTCAGCCTCGGAGTGTACAAAAGCAGCCTTGAGAGCTGCATATGTAAAACCTATGGGATATACGTTCCCCATCTCCGCTTGAAGGCTAAACTGAGAATTCTGCTGTTTGACAGCCAAGGAAGTAGGAACCAATGTCGGAAAGAGAAATGGCCTGTTTCGTTCCATACTTTTCATTTCCTTGCTTCTAAACCTCTCTGTACAGCACAGGCAGGAGTCTCTCTTTTTTACCTGATAGTACACATTTGCCAACCTCTAATCCTTTACTTAAGATGTTATAAACTGTTCAGGGATTATCTCATTTTGATTACAGTATATTAATTTAACAAAAGTGTCGGTAAACACAGAATAGACCAGCAGGGCAAATTATAACAAAAGAAGAGCATACTATTAAGAATGTTTGATGCCCCCCCAAAAAATGGTTCAACTCATTAATGATACAGAAAGACCTTACCATGGTGCTAATTTTGCCATTTTCAGTAATCATGCTGTCTCGATGATGTAAGTGAGCAAATGGCTTTGCGGCTCCCCATGATTCCAAGTACCTCGTCATACGAACAGATGCTCTCATTTTAGCTCCATCTAGTGTATTTCGAGGTCGGAAGTAATGCTGTGGACTTCGCTTTTCTTCCTAAATGCGACATAAATGAACACAAACATGATACAGGTGACAGATTCTGTACAATTTTTGATATTTTTCATTTTATTTTGGTCCTGCCTTGCCAAGGGAGGCAGTGAAGCCCTCCCACACCACCACCACCACCACTAGAAATCTTATCCAGCCATCCTTCTCGCTTCTCAGAATTTAGCAGGTTTTATTCAAATGTGTACGAGGACTAGAAACTTTTATTTAAAACAAACAAAATGAGTACTGTTATTATCAGGACAATGAGAATTCTCAAGACATTTTTCTGGCATAACTACAACAGTGTAAACCTAGCTTAGATAAAGCCATATAGCTTTGTAATGTTACTTAATACAAACATAACACAATGTAACATAAAGGTTTGAATGTATGCAAACTAGAAAAGGTGCATATAAGTATGTAGATAGTCACTGTTTCATTTTTTTTGACGGCAAAGGCAATGTGATCCTAGGACTCATGGAAACAGAAACACTGATCTTGTATGTGTGTGGCATTTTCAAACACAATATAAACAAATCAAATCAAGTGATAACTAACCTTGGGGTTGATTATAAAGTAAGTTTTCACATTATGTTCCTTAAGATATGGGTCCCTTGCATCTCCATCTCCATCTTCTACTTTGTAAGCTCCATTCAAGTGTGCCAAGGTGACTGAAGTAATGTGAACACGGCTGAAATTATGGTTTATTTTAAAATGACCATTATACAACATTTAGAATACAATACTGCTTTTTGCTTGTTTGATTTACTACTGAGAAAGTTTCCCACCACTGCAGATGCATGATTGGTTGTTTCCATAGCCAAAAGCAAATGCAAAGTGAGACCTGGTTCCACTGAAGTGGCCGGCCTATGACTAGGCTGCACCATCCAGGCTAAGCTGCCAGTGGAGAGGGGGCTTACATGCGTCATTGGAGAGAGTGGGAAAGAAAGAGGGAGGGAAGTAGGGAGAGGGAAAGATCTATATGTACAGTTTTGCATTTTCCTTGTTTCAGCCTAGTTTAGGAAATTTGCTTTTTTTAAAATCGTAACTCTCCTAGCCACCACTCCCACAACTCAATTTTTCCAAGTTCTGCTATTCACTCACATGAGGTCCCACCTGCAGCCAGATGTGATATTATCAGGACTCTAGGATGGCTACATCCTGACAACACATAGGAAAGTGCATTCTGGATTTTTTTTTTAACTACAAATCCCACAATTCTGCTTTTTGAGAATCCCACCGGCAGGACCCAGACCTGGCAAACACCTAATTTGTGCTCACATGGAGAGAAGGCCTAGTTGGCAGGCTTCATGCATCCCATAAGCCTAACTTCCTGTTTATTAGTACCATCAACGTAGTTTCCTTTTCAAAGAGGAAGTTGGTCCCCTGCAAAACATGAAGACTGCCAGCTGGGCTTTCGCTCCAAGTGAGCACAATATAAATGGAGTCCTGTAAAGCAGTGGTCCCCAACCTTGGGCCTCCAGATGTTCTTGGACATCAACTCCCAGAAATCCTGGCCAGCAGAGTTGGCGGTTAAGGCTTCTGGGAGCTGTAGTCCAAGAATATCTGGAGGCCCAAGGTTGGGGACCACTGCTGTAAAGTATGGGTCTTGCAGATGAGACACCCAGAGAAAAGAATTATGGGATTTGTAGTTCAAAACATCCAAAATTCACATTGCTACGGAAGAGTACAGATCATTACAATGTACAATGACCTCATTTTATGATCATTTCATGATCACTGTACAGTGGGGTCTCTACTTAAGAATGTCCCTACTTAAGAACAATCCAACTTAAGAACAGCTCCATTTGCTAAATTTTGCTTCTACTTGAGAACAGAAATCCAAGATAAGAACAGGAAAAAAAACCTTTCCTGCTCTTTTTTTAACCTTAGGTCATCTGAGGTTAAAAAAAATTCTCCCCCTAGTGGTAGAGTACGTATTAACCAGCTTTGCATTAGTTCCTATGGGAACTAATGCTTCAATGTACGAACGCACCTCTACATAACAAAAGAACAGCCAGAACGGATTAATTGGTTTTCAGTCCATTCCTATGGGAAATTTTGCTTCAACTTAAGAATGTTTCAACTTAAGAACACCATTCCAAAACGGATTATGTTCTGAAGTAGAGGTTCCACTGTAGTTTCTATGGGCAGAAAAGAGCAGATACGGATTAAACGGTTTTCAATGCATTCCTATGGGAAATGCAGATTCAACATAAGAACTTTTCAACTTGAGAACCACCTTCCAATACGGATTAAGTTCTTAAGTAGAGACCCCACTGTATGTTCTATTAGCCCATAGGCATTATAACATTCTAATATGATCTAGGTCTCTAGTTTATACAGAACAAAATTATTAAAATCCATACTAAATGGAGACTTGTCTTACCCAGGAACTCCTCCAGCTTCCATGTGATTGGCCAATGTAACATCATGTGACCATACATCATATTGCCATTTCTGTAGTCCAATCACACCACAGAGGACATTTCCAGAGTGTACTCCTACTCGCATGTTAATATCAACTCCAGTTGCATCTCTGACTTTCCTATTTTTGATAATCAATGACAGAAGTTATTTCCTTGTCTTAAAAAAAGTGCACAGTACTAGAATTCTTTTCACACAATGGGCAAAATCCAGTTCCACAGTTAAGCCAGCAGTATGAAAATGGTGTAACATACAAAAACAAATTGCCACTAATTAATGAGTCTCTGCTTGGATTCCAGATTGCTCACTGAGTCATCTGACTAATGCACAATGTGAATTCAAGTAGAGACTTTTTCATTAGCAGCTATAGTATTTGCCATTGTGAATTAGATCATTTCTCTTTCGCTGGCTTAATTATGCAAAAGGATTTTGGCTGACAATTTTATCTAATGCAGTGCTTTGGAGTTAAAAGTGGTTCAGAAATATTTTAAATTAATTAAAACCATCCTTAGATGTTCCTTATTTCTAACATATTTACAATTCAGTTACATCACTGGCCTAATCATCAGTCATAGTCATTAATACAACAACTGACAAAAGTTTAAGAAAGTAACATTTCACTTTCAGCTTGCTGATGATGCAGATGGAAAACAATACTATTTGACTACAAAGGCTTTTCTAATATTACCGCTTACATGGTGGCAGTGGGCAGAAGGTGGACTAAGGCTGGCCCTATCTTGAGGCCACATTTAGATGTGAGAAGGTAGGAAAGTTCTTGAGCATTTCTCCAGTTTTGTGCAATTCCAGCTCTTGCTGCACCAATAAGTCATGGGTTGAGGGATTGGGAAATCAGCCCCTTGGCTCCTGGCTGTTGCCAACACCCAATGTAAGCATTAAGTCTTCATATGTTAATCACTAATGTTTCTGATGCCCAAGTTTACAGCTGAAACCAAATTATTCAGGCTTGTTAGAACCTGAAGAGATATCAAAGACCTCCAAATGGATCTCCCCAAATTTTGGGAAAAAAGCATTAAAATGGCAAATGCAGTCAAATGCAGTTCAGTGTGTGGCTTTCTAATGTTAGGGGAAACAATTTTATGGTTGTTGTGGGTTTTTCGGGCTCTTTGACCGTGTTCTGAAGGTTTTTCTTCATAATGTTTCGTCAGTCTCTGTGGCTGGCATCTTCAGAGGACAGCACTCTGAAAAGATGCTGTCCTCTGAAGATGCCGGCCACAGGGACTGGCGAAACGTTAGGAAGAAAAACCTTCAGAACACGGCCAAAGAGCCTGAAAAACCCACAACAACCATTAGATCCCGGCTTGAAAGCCTTCGCGAATACATGAAACAATTTTAACTTCTCATACACTCTGATAAGTCTGAGCTCACAGCAATTAACCATGACAAAGACCTACTGGTTCTGGTGCATGACTCAAAAAAGAGTGTGCAGCGGTGGTGGAAAAGGCAAAATCCATATTGAGGGTCATTCGGTATGTATGTATGTATGTATGTATGTATGTATGTATGTATGTATGTATGGATGGATGGATGGATGGATGGATGGATGGATGGATGGATGGATGGATGGATGGATGGATGGATGGATGGATGGATAGATAGATAGATAGATAGAGAGAGAGAGAGAGAGAGAGAGAGAGAGAGAGAGAGAGATTTGTATAAGAACCTTATGATATTGGCAGTTTTACTTTTTTTTATTCCTTTCCTAATGAAATATAGATAGGGGAGATGTGTGTGATGGAAATAGGGACATAAACCCTTAGTTGTCTTGTCCTCACTCATGAGTGGGCAAGGAACCATATAACTACTCTCTTCGTCACAAGAGGGGACTTTAAGTGGCACTTTGCATTAGGATAACATGGATGTTTTGTGCAATAAATGCATTTTTTGTGCATTAAAGCTTTTTGTGTTTTAATGAACATTACATAAACTGCATAAAATCATGATGGCTCCTGTTTCACTGCATGAATATTTAATAATTAGAAGCACTGGAATGGCTGTCTCTGCCTCTGTTTAACAGTTAGTCTGTTCTTCTGTGCTTGCTCTCTCTTTCTGTGTATGGGTTTCTGTGTGTCTGCTTTGCTTCTCAAAGGGAAAGGATACAGTCTGCTTAAATGGAGACGCTCTGGAAGGAAAAAAAAGGTTCTTCTTATCACAATTTTTTGACGTCTGAGAATTTTTCATCAAAGTGTCTCATGAAGTTCAGGCAGTTCAAGTCAATGAGAACAAAGAATTCAGAGAGTATTCTTTACATTCCCAAACAGAGGTGAATAGCACAAATGGCCCTTGGTCCAAACAAAGGGGTGCTGGCCTTCATCTTGAAAATATGAGAAACCACCCTATTTGGTTGACAATCCCTGGTACACGAAATCCTGAACAGTGTGGAAAAACTGTATTCTCCTCACCCAATGAAGCACTCTGTCTGGAAGGCAATTTCTTCAAAAAGCTACTTATTTCATAGGGTCCTTCCTGTATCCAAACTATCCAACCTTCATTCTTCTCGACAACAAAAACAATTATGGCTGTTTTCTATTTTTAATTGTTTCTTTACTACCTCCAGGATCAATTTCTCAACAGGAATTCATTTCAGAGAATCCAGCTGAGATCAAATGGCAATTACTTTTAAAAGCACAAAGGAGGGAATGGGAAAAATAAGTAATGAAGGAAAAGCAGCAGGATTACATTTAAAGAATATTAGCACAAATTAACTTTATGTCTAGTCCACAAGGCTTAGATGAAACTGCTGAAGGCACAACAATCATAGGAATATCTGTAGCTTAATGGCAATGGGGAGAGTCTGAAATTCACTCAAGCAGGCAACAAAAGCTGTTGCCATCATGTGCTTATGGGTGTATAGGGTGTGTACAGTGGTAGTTACAGCTGTAATTAAGAATCTGAGTTTATTGAATGGAAAGTTAGTCTTGACTTAATATCACCTCTTTTAGACAGAGGATGCTTATTATCACATTCAGTGTCATGCTCTTCTTCAAAGAGTTGGTGACACATGTATAGAGGTAGATTCATTTTGTTTTCTGAGCAGTGCTAGTTAGGCTAGGCTGAAAGACAGTGACTGGGTGAAAATCATAGCCTTCTTACCAAGCACTGTTTCAATTCCAGGTCCTTCTGGGTTCAAACCCAAATGTGAGTCTCTTACTTGCTACATGGGCTCAAATCTGGCTTGTGTGCTTCCTCTGCCTCACCAGTACCATAACACATAACACAGCTCATTGGATGGATCCTTCCCATCAACTAGTTTGCCACCATGACAGCACTAAAAAGCTAACATAGAAATACTGTACATAATGTGCAAAATTATGATGAGCCATAGGTTCAGAATTTACACAATCAGTGTGCAGGAGACACCGGGTGAAGCCCCTTTCACTCATAAATGACACAACAAAAATATCTGAAGTAACCTTAAGTGTTTTCATAGGCACAAAGTCAGGCATGTAAAACAGTCATCCACTGTTGTTACTGCTATGATTGTTATTGTAAGGAGCCATTCTAATGGAAATTATTTTTATTTTTCTGCAAGAATAAGGCCCTACTGGTTGGTGGCCCAAGTTCTAAAATGTAGCTTAAATATCTGTAGCTGTGATTGCTCACATTCAGGGTTTCACATTCTTGTTTTCTATTTGATGTCCTTGACTGCCTTTACTTCCTCTGCTACAACTTCCAACATCAAAGCTTACATTCAAAGACTTTCACTCTCATTTCTTTTTATGTTACTCCATAAAGCACCATATAAACTGGCAATGCTGTCTAAACAAATAATACATTTACAGTCCTCGGGATTTTTATATACGCTATGACTCTAGGCATTTTTATGAGACAGTAAATTGAACAACTTGGTTTCAAGGTAGGAAGTTTCAACCCTCTATTGAAATCTCTTCTGACAGTCCTGGGCAGGGGGACAATATCATAAGTCATTCTTAGTAGATCTCAGCAGAAACAAATGAGATGGACAGCTCTGGAATTTCCAGTGACCAATTTCTAATTTGCACCTTGTGAAGCTTCACAAAATATCTGGAGGTTAATTACAATGTCCTTATTGCTTAAGACAGTTCTGCTTTTTATTGAAAACTTTTCTGTTACATTGTTTCTGTCTTCTCTCTTCTACTACTGGCAGAGTGGCATGAATGACAAATTCTGTGTTACTATTCTAACAATATATTATGCGGCTATGGTGAAGTATATTTCAAATTAGAGTCAAAGCTAGTTTTTTTTTAAAGTCCCTGCCCCTGCCCCACCATAGTTGAAGATCTGCTTTGGGGTGGCATGTGTGTAACTCCATCTGCAAAAGAGGCTAGGTTGTGTAAAAGAAAAAATGGGTCAGGGCCTCCTCTGAGGTAGTATGCTAATTTTGGAACTGGCTTTCTAATCTTCATTTAGCTTTAGGTGGGCCACCATGGTGTTTTTTTTTTTCACCACTCAGTTTTTGAGTAACTTGAAACAGATTCTGTTCTGAAAATTTTTCCCCATGTTGTTCACTTTACTATAGTTTTTATGTTTTTGCAGTTTTAAAACTTTTTTTTTACATTTTACATTGTAAGTTGCCTTGATAGCTCTTTCTGGGCTTAATGGTGAGTCAGTAATGTTTTCATAAATCAAATTTACAATGTGCAATGGACTTCAGCTTCCATCAGCCCCAGTCAAAATGGCCAATGCTCAGGGACATTGAGAGATGTCGTCTTAGTTTGAGAAGGCTGTTACGAGTAAAATAAATACCTGTACACTGCACTACAAAATTCACAACCTTCTGAACTGATATAGGGACAGACAGAATCAACCTTGCCCTGGTGGATCTGAATCCAAAACCATTCAATCACTGAAATATAAACCATTCCTGTAGATTTAAAGCAACTACAGCAGGTTTTTGTTATGCTAATTATTAAAGAGGAGAATAATTATAAAATGTCTATACCTACTTTATGGCTTCACACATGTCCAGTCCCATTTTCACACAATTCCTGGCATGATTTTGAAGAGAAATAGGGAGACCAGACACACAGTAGTAGCAATCACCTAAAATTTTAATTCTCATGCATTCATTCTCCTGAAGAGTGAGGGGAGAAAAAAAAGGCCAGTTAGGAAATGGTCACATCTGCTACATGAAGCTGGACGAGAGGGCTGCAGTAGCTGGCTGCCCTTGGTACCACCAGATGTATCCCATCTAAAGATAACTGGAGGAGGAAAATAACTGGGTTGGAATGTGCAGGAAGAAAAGAGCTGTGAGTGCTGTGCACCTCCCATTTCCACTGACCTACTTTTCCTGATGTGTTCAATCAGAAGCACGCACAGGCTAGGCATTATCCAGAGACCTGGGAAATTAAATAAAAACCTCTTCCTGCATGGTACAAAAACAGAGAGCCCCTTTGTTGTCATATGTATTCCAGCACCTGCAGGAATAAGAAAGCTCCCTAGTTTTAGTCTTCAAAATTGTATTGCTTATGTTGATGAGAATCTTTACAACAAGCAGGAATATCAGCTTCTAATGGGTTAGAATTCTCCCACTCCACCCCAGTGACTTTCATAGACCACCAGGGGACAAGAACTTAACATCCTAAGTCTTAGTGTCAATTTATTATTTATGTCTTATTTTATGTATTATTTTTATGATACACACAATTCTTCTGCCAAGACACCCAGAATGTGTACATCAGAATACAAACAACTATTACACAGAACATTAGAGTCCCCCCCAGAAGTATGAAGGTTTTCCTTCATAGATGACTATTTAAATCTGCAACATTCACCAACAAAACTGAAATGACAAAGTCCAAGAAAAGCCTCACCACTTTGTATCTCCAAATGTATACACATATTCATTTTGCAAAGGGTAATAGACAAGACAGGTAAGTCAGGAATGGAGAGCCTAGACCACAGCCCAACTCCTGTGCAATATACAATCATTCTACAACCTAAATGTTCCTCTGAGGACAGCTCAGTGTAAAAGTGTTATAAGCCCAGAGACTTTGAAAATTATTCCTCACAGAGCAACTGAGCCAGAGTTTAAATGCAAGGGACTATTCATTAAAGAGCAGTGGTCCCAGAATTCAAATATTTTGCATTCTAGTATTGTGCTGACTGTCCCCAGGATCATAGAAATGCCAAGGATGAAATAAAAAGCCCACAATAACTGTGATACAGTATGTGTAACAGAAGAAGGCGCTTTTGTGCCATTTACCTAAGTAATTACTAAATCCCTTCTCTTAGTCCTCCCCAATTTCTTCTTCCCCAAATCATCATCATAATCAGCATCATGATGTGCCGTCAAGTCAATTCTGACATATGGCAACCCTTTTTCAGGGGTTTCCAAGCAGAGAATACTCAGAACTGGTTTAGTATAGCCCCAAAAGGCGGGGATTAAAAAGAAAGATAAACCCTGGTGTATTTTTTTAAAAAAAACATTTTATTAGTTTTTCACTCTATCTACATTTGATTTGTGCTCGTCAAACATCGTGTTACATGATTTGCTTACAATTATTTGTTTTTTACATTTCAGTGTCTTCCCAGTTGTCCCCCCAAATTCCAGACATCTTTCAAACATTCAAACCATTCATGTACATATTTTAGTATACAATATGGCTACTATCATAATATTACTTTCATAGTGTACAATATTCTCAAGATCTTCTAATAACATTCTTAATAAAAGTAGTTCCAGATCCATGCCCCAACCTTATATCTAGTTTAATTTCCCCACCATATTACATCTTTACCCTGGTTAAAGCTCCCTTATTTCAATTTAATTC